TAGTAGAAAGCCAAAAACTTTCTTTCCCAAAAATTAGTCACTCCTGAAAATATAACCCTTTCAATTTANGAATTTCAAGTAATGAGATATTTGTCTAGTTGAACCATCGAAGCCTACTAATATGTCATCTACATATCTAAACCAGAACACAATATGTTTATGGGAAAGACAGTTATTCAAAATTAGATTAGTCTCTAAATTGTTTAGGAATATATCAGCTAGTAACGGACTTATCGGTGATCCCATTGGTAGGCCTGAGTTCTGTATATAAAATGTATTATTAAATTTAAAATAGTTTTGTTTTAAACACGTGTTGAACAGTTCACAGAGTTCACTGTTGACATATGGGTTAGTATTATGTCTATCTAATATGTTTTTAATCAGGGGAAGGCATTCATCTGTTGGAATATTTGGAAACATGTTCTTGATGTCAAACGATACTAATTTAATGTTGTTGTTAATTTTTATGTTGTTGAGTTTGTTTGTCAAGTCTATAGAATTTAGTATAGTGTGAGAAGGTTTGAAATTAGTGATCTCCCTGAATTTGCAATTTAGGAATTTCGATAGCTTATAATTAGGGGTATTGGTATATGAAACTACTGGTCTGGCTGGGTTACCTTCTAGTCAATGCTGTAAAAAGTGTGTTTTTGTAGTGTATCCTCAGTGGTAAATATAACTATGATATTGGACATTCTCAACTTGAATACTCTGGCTCACAGAAGATTGGAATTGGATCTTACACTAATTCACAAAATAATCAATGGTAGCAATAATTCCCCGGAACTTGTTGAACTTATAACTAAATGTGAATTCAAAGAGAATAAGAAATACAAAAATCTTCAAAGTATCCTTTCATCATACAAACTATGGCCAGAATGAGTGCATAGGCAGAGTTTTGAGACTTGCAAACACTTACAACGTGGATTTAGAACTTTTCAATTATATTTTGGAACCATTTAAAAAGACTGAAAAGTTTGTAATTGTTTGGCTTATTTTTGCCTTTCTTTTATATTTTTCCCTGCATCTAGCTGATAGTTAAATATTATTGTTTTAGTACATATGTGTGAATTTATTTATATTGTAAAAATAGTCACTGCTGTAAATAAATAAATATGACAAGTCCCTCCTCTCCTGCCGTGTCTACCAGTCTAAATGTGATATACTCAAAAACTACCAAATGGATTATCATACGGTTTTCACCAATGGACAGAGATTCAAGGGAAAGGTTCGTTTGTATTGAACAAGAGTCATTGTTTGTGGAGGAAATGAGAAATTTGTATCTATCTTTCTGAGGATTTTCACCTTCAACAAACTGGAAAAAATAAAAATTGTAATGATGAACTTTATACAAATACAAAATACATACAAAACACGTTTGAGTTGGTTAAATTTTGAAAAAAATGAATAGAAGGAGAAAACTGCAAGTTATATTTTAATTTTTTTCATTTCGGATAAAAACGAAAATTATTGCCCTGCACAAATTAAGGTAAGTATTGAAACTGTTAAAGAGTCAGAAAAATGTTTACAAGTGGTAAAGCTATAAAAAGTCGAAAAGATGTGAATCACGACGCTCGCCCTGAACGCTGCATGTGAAGAAAATTGTTATAGAAAATCGTCAAATCACTATTAGAGAAGTTGCTGAGGATGTCA